TACAAAATCTGTTCTCTCAAAAAATAGGACTGCTCAAATAGCTCCTAATAAGTAGGGATGCAATAGTCAATCAGCAACAAGTGGCCTAAAACTCAATAAATTTTCCTATCGTACCAAATTGGTCAATTTTTAGGGTAGTAGATATCATCTCCATCTTTTTAATTTCTAGTGTTTAGGGTCATTGGCCAAGGGTCCTCAACCTTTGTCAAGTGTGACAATGGGATCCTTAACCTACAAATGTAGCACATAGGCTCCCCCAACCTTTATAAAGTGTGCACGCATGGTCCCATATAATGAATAATGGTGATCATCATCGGCATCTAGAGCTTGTATGGAAGGGATTAAAATCAGATTACAATTGAAAATATAGCCGTTATTGTTGACTTTTATTAGACGAGTGAAACTCAATAACGGCTATATTTTCAATTTTAATTTGATTAAAAACTCTCTCAAACAAGGCCCTAATATATAGAATGAACTAAAATGCATCACAATATCTTTATATCTTACTATCACATAAACTAATGTTTGTAAATCGTGCTTACAAATTGCATTACTCTTCAAATAATGAAAAATGTATGTTTGGCTGTTAAAAACCTATATATGTATTAAAAGGACTATTATACCTTCATTTTAAATTTTAAAAAGAAAAAAAAATTATTAATAGAAAATCTTGACTTCTTTATCCCTCACAACCCAAAAATCATTTAATCTTCGTCTATCTATGATGAAATTTGGTATCCCTATTAGATTTTCTTTTCCAAATTTACTGATCTCCCAAATGTAAGGATGTCGATTTGGCTCGTCGGCTCGAGCAGCCCGTAACTCAGCTCCGGAATGCTCGACCCGACCCCGAGGCTTGATAGAACTAGCCCGTTCAATCCCCATTTTGGGAAATCGGGCCGAGCCGAGCAGTCCCATGTGGCCCTTATTAAAAAAAAAATTTGAAATGGAATGAGGGTAAAAGCCAACTATGTAGCTGCCTATTTAAAGGCAACAATGCTACCTTTGTTTTATATATATATAAAAATTAAAAAAGAAAAAAATCGACCGGCCCATTGAGGCCTAAGCCTCAAATTTTTTTTTCAGCTAAAAAAAGCCCTAACCCATTTTGCTTGAGCAAGGTCCGAGATTTGAATTTCGACTTATGACTCGACTTGTTGTCACCCCAACCCAAATGCAACAACGTAGCAAAAAGATTTCAATATGGTAAACTTCACAGCCCTTAAAATCTAGTGAAAACCCATTCTCCAGAAATTCAAATAATATCATTTCTTGAAACCACTTCGAAAACACATGTACAAACATAAGTTTCCTACGTATATGTTCCAAGTATGTGATGAAGCTTTGTTTTTGCGGGTTTTTATACAAGAGATTTACTGTGAGAAATTATGGTGTATTATCACTCATAACTCATAGGGATTAGCTGATGGAGAACAAAATCATACATTTTTAGGCTTCAACTTTCTTTTTCTTTCCTGTAAATACACAATGACCCATTAATCTAATTCCTTTAACTGTCAAGCTACATGTACACTATAAGTTTCACGTTAAGTTTGACATTTCTATGAGGTAGCATTTTTTTAGATATTGACCTTCACAACACTTTAAACAATCAATGGCACAGATTTTGACAACATTTCAAAGTGTCAAACTTGATGTACACCAAATATGCACAACTAATTTAAGGGTAGTGCTATGTATACACAATCTTTTACACCCCTCTCATATGGAGGGGAGCCCACACACAATAAAACATTTGTTGACCCCCCTCCATGTGAGGGAGGTGTAAAAGATTGAGTATACCACAAAGTGTACACGTAGAATAATCCCTAATTTAATTCTTCCTTTAAAAGTAACAATAAAACATTTGTTGACCCCCCTCCATGTGAGGGAGGTGTAAAAGATTGAGTATACCACAAAGTGTACACGTAGAATAACCCCTAATTTAATTCTTCCCTTAAAAGTCAAGTATGTGAACTGCACATCTACAATTAAAGACGAAAATTAAGGGAAATGACTCTTTCGTACCAAAACCATAGGTTGAGGAGGTCAGTGTCAAGAAAAAACAAATTGAGGCTGTTGCATATGGAGGCCATAGGTTAGGGGTCTATTTGTGGAAAAGTATCATATTAAAATGCAGCCTCCCCATCTATGCTAGAGTAAAATTATCTTTACATTTGCCATTGGTAATCATGTCTAGATTATCAAGTGTAAAACACTAAATATATCACAAATGAATTTTCTACGCGAAACTAAATGTTTGTAATTCTCAGGCGATTATCGTCGGAATTTAATATTCATTTTTGTTGAGTTATGCGCCCTGAAAGTATAAATTTTTGCCCTAACAAATTGACATTTGATTTTTGATTCTTGAAATCGATCATCATCTTTTGTTGTCTAATGATTTTGTACCTCATTTCGACTGCAACCTCTCATTTCATATGACTTGTATTCTCATTGTATATTTACTCGTTTATATAGATGAATGGATTGTTGATCAGTTTATTAATCAGGTCATCTCTCAGCAAAAATATATGCATGCAAAAATTTTCATTAGAGGTTCTCCAATTTCTTCCTTAAATAACATTTTAATTGACGACAGCCTTTAAAATATTCACATTTTTTTCCCTTCCTTTAAATTTATCACATTTAAGAGAAATGCAAACATAACTGTAACTGATAAAAAGGAAAACCTCCAAAGCATGTAGTTCTCAAGGTGGAGTTTCAAAACCAAAATTTCTAGGCAAAGTTCAAGTTTTGTAAGTTTCTGTAGATAGTATGTCCAGAACTCATACCTATGCAAGTTGTTTACCCGAGTTTCGTTCTCTTGGCAACAGAAGTCTCCACCACCCTACCTGGCCAAACACGAGAGTGCACCTCCCCACCAGGCCTGCTCCATGGCTGAGGCGTAAGATGCTGGTACTGGCCATTGAGATACATGCTAGGCATCTGATAATTTAGATCTAGTTTAAATTTTGTATTTCGATGAAATTCTAGTCCACGCAAACTTTTACCAGGTTGCCCAATTTTGGATAGTTCATGCTTCTCATTTACATGAGTTTCACCACCATATTGCTTTATTAGGGACTTACAGTAGTCACTGTCCTTCAATAAAGGTGCTGAGTTACCCTTGATCACTGATGGAAAATGGTATCTGCCAACAGTACCTGATAAGGCCTTAGTTTGCAGAACAGAATCCATTGAAGTACCCAGGTTTGCAACCGTATGAGATTTTAAAGTGGCTGAATTATCATGTCCTGTATATTTAATAACAAGTTTTTCAATCGCCTCGTTAGGTTTTGAGGCAGAAGGAATTCGATGTGCAACTGGCTTTACCTCCTGTGCTCCATATTCGTTAATCATCCTTTTGAACAGTTCAATATTTGTTTTCGAGGTGGAAGTACTTATAGAAGACACTGGCTTTATCCCACCAATGTTGCTAATTCTTGAACGAGTAGAAGATCCAGGTTCAATAATTAAGTTCTTAGTCAGAGACGTACCAGAATTAGATCTCCAGATGGGAGTTACTTGTTTCACCGGCTTTGGTGCAGACATTGGCAGAATTACTGCATGAGCTTTTCCACATGCACTGACTGTTTGGCTCCGAGTTCTGGCTTTTGAGCTAGGCATAGGAATCAATTCTTTCTCAGTCACAGGCTTGGAAATAGCGGGAGTTTCTCTACTTGAGAGTTCACTATGTTTCGTTGAACTTGGCAAGGGAAATGATGCCATTGGTTCTGGTCCAGCTCTAGGTCCAGTCTTCACTTCAGCACCAAGCTTATTTTTATCAACCAATTTCCAAGTCATTTTTGGGTCGCGAAGAAGCTCAATCAACAGATTTGGGTCAACTGACCTTCCTTGATCTTTGCTTTGCAAAATGGAAGCTACGGCAGCAGAAGCAGTCGCAGCAGACACCAGATCAATATCTTTTAAACCATGTACAAAGTCAACAACAGCTTTTTCATTGGGTAGAGAAACAGGAAGATTGCAATGAGGTGTTTCAGATATTGATTGGTCTTTGAGTATTGGTGGTGGCTGTGAAACAGGGCAAGAATTTACTGGTGCTAATCCATTCAATTGTGCTTCTACTACTTCTTCAATTGGAACGATTGGGATTTGTGGAATGTGACTATCATCATAATATTCACCTTCCACATCGGACAAGACAGAGGGTCTATATGTAGATAGCAGAAGTACACAAGGTCAAGTACGGGGAAAAATTGAAGAAAAAAGAAATCCAGATAGATGATGACTTTACCTGAGAGGTGGCATTTGACGCCCTATGCACTCACTTTCTTCACCAGCAGCCACACACCATTCTTTTTTCAATGCAAATTGCTCAATAAGTGGGAGAGAGAAGAAAAAAAAAATAGAGTTAGAGAGAACCGATAAACAGTGATGTCAAACTATCATTTCACAACCAAGAACAATTGGAACTAACAATCCGCATTCCACTTAAATAGCTTACTTTGGGAGGGCATGTCCAATTAATCTGAAGAATGCATTGAAGCTTATCTGCCGATGGCTTCACATTTAATGCATGGTACTGCTCAAGACATTTCTTCGAGTCCACAACATTAGCACGGGACATGATCGACTTAAGACCAACTTTTGAAGGGCAATTCTCTGGTAGAGACAAGTTTGCCTGGTTGATCACAAAAGTAGATTGTAACTGATGTCATTCAGAGCACTAAAGTCTCATTAGCTGCTGCAAACAAAGATCAATCTTGGGGTAGTCTCACAAGATTGGAAGGAAAGTAATTATATTATGTGCTCAGCTATCATATATAAATATGAGAGAATAAGGGAAATAACATGCTTTCAAAATAAATACCCAATAAACAAGAAAAAAGCCAAACTTACAAAAGACAAATGATTACACGCAGTCTCTTTAATTAGATATAAGCATTGATTCCCCGTTAAACAAATGCAATACATCCGTTTCTACAACATGGCAGAAACATCAACAGGTTTATAAAGGACAAAGTAAACCTTTGCTTCCTAATGCAATTTAATATGATTTAGATATATTTGATATTATCATAAATTCACAGGACCTTTTTTACTTCATAAAAACAAGAGATCACTGCAGAGTGTGCACATATTGGTTGCAGCAGCGAAAAGAAAGCCTTTATTTTGTATACAAGGAGAAATTATCAACCTGAGGTACCAAGGAGAAAAATGAAAGGAACGGCTGAACAGGAATATTTACAACAAAGTAGTTATTAGTTACTGGAAGAGTCATGATGCACCGATACGGACACGTGTCACGTGCCGACATGCAATTTTTCAAAAATATACTGACACAACACGTCGATATATTGATTAAGTTATATAAAATTCTTCATTTCTATAGCATAAATTTAGTTTTATACTTAAATTATTCTTGTTGAAATCTTTTAAATATGAGTATTTATTTTTTATTTAGGGTGTATTTGAGTCACATTATTTTGGAAGAATGTATTTTGAAATAGTAGATTGATGGAGAATGTGTGGTTGAAAAATAAGGAAAAGTTATTAATGTGATAAAAAATATTATTTTATTGAAAAATGTGTGGTTGAAAGTAGGTTGAAGAATGAGAATGCAAATTTTAATGTGGCTCAAACAGGGTATTAATAATAACTTCGAGTTGAAAACATATAATATTTTTGATAAAGAAAGAAAAATGATCACGATAGAGTGTCTCAGGAGTGTCGGACACGATACTCTAGTTGAAGTGTTCGTGCAATAGACCCTCTGCCAGATTTTACTTTTTAAGATAACAAAGTTATCATATTTTTCTTTCACCAAGAGGAAGCAAGATAGTCCTGACATAACATTACAAAGCTCAATGATCTATAACAAAAACCCTCCTGCAAGATCAGCATTTTCTCAACATGATAACACATCATACAGGTTATACACTAGATAATATTGAGAACTCTAACAGTATTTATCAGTAAGAATTTAATCTGCAAAAATATTTCTCTTTCTAATAGCTCCTCATTTAATCAGAGAAGCACATTCCCAACTATGATAATAGGTCAAAAGAATTACTTTTTTATATACTAAATCAAAAACCTAACATCATCACTTGAGCTTAGGGGCAAATACTACTTTCTTCATTAAAACAGAGGCATGATCAGAAGTCAGCACAGCTCAGCAACAATGCCAGGTCAAGTATCTTCCTTAACCTATAAGCCGCAGATACAAATACGGCATAAGGTGAATTCCCCAAAAAAGAGCGAGTCTATTTAAAGGGGAAAATCAAGTGTTGAAACCACTCATACAATAATAAAGTTAAAAAAAATGCGAGGACAATCGAAATAACTCAAACATTGACAAAGTGAAAACAGTATTTGGAAGAAATTTAGCATATGCTTGCATATGAAAACATTACATAAAAATCATAAACAGGAAACAAAAGTTCTGATGTGATTGTTTCCAGCATTTTTACTCATTTCCTATACAAACTATGGTAAAATTTGCACTTATTGAGATATAAAATAAGCAAACCCCTTGTAAATCAAAGATAGCACAGCACGCTAAAAGAGTTTGTTTACCGAAGCAAGAATCTCATGAGTTTGAATTAGTTCACAGCAAACCACATACGGAAAAGAAAACAAGAAGAACTGAAAATGCTTAACAGATAGCATGGAAATCAATGCAACATATAAGAATCAACTAGACTAATATGACATAGGGAGCATATAAATGATAAACAGTAGAGTGAACTACCCATGTCAAAGTAAAAATTTATTTCAACTGCTATCATTGTTTTGTATTCAGTCATTCCAAGAGGTCTCTCTTTCACACCATGCCAGATAATAACAGATATCAGCGAAACAAAAAAGGATGTCAATTATTATAATGCCCATCAAGTTGGAAACATGTCAACAACCATTAACGGCCAGCTAGAAAAGGCAAATCTTCACTCACTTGTAAGGTAGCCATTGTTTACCCCAGCCCAACACCCCCAACCACTTTTGCCCCCCGACACACACGCCCTTCTTTATAAGGTAGCCATTGTTTTCCAGCTATTTGCAACATCCACTGGAAATTTATCGAATGAACGCTGTCCCTAGAAATTAATATGTTGTGCAGCCAAAATTTCCTTGCTCTTAAAGGACATTAAGTAACACAGTCTACACCTACTGCGTCAGCCTGACAAAGCACCAATTAACAGAAACTTAAGGATACGGACAAATTAATTGCCGACACTCGCAGTTTAGTAACTCCTAGGATGGCATAAGCCACGTGGACAAACTCAGTATAAACTCTCATGTCATTAACTATCTCCATTATGTAATCACTTTCTTAGCTACAGAAAACAAATGCTACATTTCGGGACATTTGGTGCCCCATCTTTTCCTTATTTTCTTAAATTACTAGATCACATCATGGGATGAAACATTTGGAAGTCGTGCCTTAAGCGAACAAATGGGAAAAAAAAAACCCTACCATCATTACAGTTTTAAATACATGCTCTATATAGTTTTAACCTAATTGTTGCGTCCGAGTTCAATCTTCTTTAGATATATCAATTGATATGTCTGCGTAATTAATGCAATCATCTTTGTGTCATGTGTCCATAACAGTGTTTTGAATCTTCTTAGCTTTGGAAATACATTTTTATTGAAAGTATGGTATTTATTTTTATAGTGTAATCATACTCTCCCCCATATTTCCCAAAAATTCAACCTAGATATAATCTTTTCAAGGAACTCATTACAAAATCGAAGATGAGGACGTAAAGACACTTTTTTGATTTTGCATAAGACCAGAATGGTTCCACAGCTCGAAATCTAGAACTAAATTTAAACCATTCGCATTCCCACTCATGCCTGCTTCCCCACGGGTTTATCCAAAAAAATCCCTGCTAGGGGATGCTGCCGTTGTTGAACTGCGGATGCTTTCTGGCGGGTGGGAGGGAATGAAGAAACCTACCAATTGGTATTGAAAAAGCAGATCTTGGATGCGGAGTGAGATTCTTACCCTTTATTCAATCAAACAAACTTCCTAACTCTCCCACTTTGAACATCTTGGCTCAGTTTCATGCAACTCAGATAAATTCATTCGTGGAAGTACGCCTTTAAAAATAAAAAATAAAATCATGCATTATTTATCTCCACATGTATATACACTAATACACATCAACTAAAAGTCCAAAACATTTATATAACGTCTATAAGTAACGAAATGAACAACTAAGCAAACCACACCAATCAAAACGAAAAATCAACCACAAAACTGACAGCAAAAAATAAATAAAACAGTGGAAATAGAATAGAATTGAATTGGGAAAAACGTAGGTTTTACCTGGCGAAGGATAGCACTGGAAGCTCTATTCGATTTCCTCAATTCCTTCATTTTCCTCTAACCCTCAAATCCCTTGAACAACGTTTTTCTGTTCAGATTATTACTCAAAATGGTTTTTAAATGATTTTTTCCTCGAGAATTTCGAAAGCGGAAATTTTCACAATGTTTTGTAAGATAAAGAAGAAACGTGTGTTTGGGGATGATTCGAGAAACCCTGTCCAGATTCAGGATTCTTGTGCGCGTGTCGCTTCAATTGAAGAGTTTCATTACCACGTAATGAAGCGCTGCTAGTTGTATGAGTAAAGAATAGTTGACACCTGGCAGTGGAGCCTGATTAATTTTGCTTGTTTTCCCGCCAGAAAAATTGTACCATTAGTCCCCGTTAACACATTTTTAATTATAATGAAGGTCCCCAATTTTTATTTATTTTAGCATTTATATCCCCCACATATTTTTGTTGCATTTTTTTCTTTGACTTTCAATTTACTTAACACATCTTATATCTTATGAAGTTTATATGTCAAAATGTTTTGCTATCTGAGGAAAAATATTTGTCAAACTTTTGTATCTATTGTTTATCTTACTCATTTAAAATACGAGGGGCAAATAAATATTTTTTACTTTCTCATAATTTTATTTTTTTTTGCTGTCAAAATATGGTAATTAATATAAGATTTATGATACAAACAAGACAAAAGTTAGAATTTTGCCAAATGTTTTCACAAAACCTCACGAGAAATTATCGAATTAGCAGCAACAATACCAAATTGCGACCGCATAAAGTTGCATCCTTCGTAATAATTATGTATCTACATGTGGATCGAGTTAACTAACAATTGTGTATTGTATTTTTAATTGTCCAATCATTTATCGACACGTGTCCTTTCTATTTTTAAACATGTTTGTTATAGCACACTTGTTTTGAACTTTCATCAAAAAAGGAAATCGCAGTTCGCAAAAGCTTTGAAGGCAAATTTTTCGGTGGTTGAAGTGAAATTTTTAAATTTTTTGTACTGCCGACATTGGTAAAGGAAGTTGGGGTTCAAATGAAAAAAAGTTTTAGATTGGGCTGCTAATGAAATAAGGGAAAATGGTCACCGACTTATGCCATAATTTCTGCCGATTGGCTTGCATTCTCTCGCATTCCTCTCCATGCCATCTCAAAAACCCTAGACCGCCTGCCCTGTCGCCTCAAATTCCCTTTTTGCAACACCCACCAGCAAGCATTTCTGAAATATTAATCTGAAACAAAATAAGATTTTTTAAGTGTATTAAGTAGAAATTAGGAAAAAAATGATGGAATTGTGGAATTCGATTACGGTATCGTGCGATCCGGATGCTATCTTCATCAGGTATATCTACATTTTCCTGATTTAATTCGTAAATATTTTTACCAATTAAATCACTTTTTCTTTTTCTTTGTTTTTATTTTTGACTTTTGATTTAATGCATGGTCTTTTTCGAAGAAAGAAAATTGTTCTTCCGTGAATGAATTTCTATGAGAGTTACATGAAAATTGAGCCAAGAAGTTCAAACTGCGAGAGATAAGAAGTTTGTTTGGTCGGACGAGCTGAAGGAATTTCACACCTGGTCCAAGGTTCAAGAAAAAAGCATTCTTGCATTGATTAATTCATCCGAGAGTAAAGTGAAAAGAAAATAAGAAGTGTTACAATTTTGTTATTGAGTTCCTTCAAAAGATTATACCTAAGTTCTATTTTAGGAAAAATGGCTGGCAAATTTGGTTAAGTGATAAGCACAGAAATGCTTTGCTTCATAATTAAAAAAAAAAAAACGTAACAGATGCTGTGAAGATTAAAAAAACTCATATGGACACATGACGCAAATATGATTGCTATAATTAATTGGCGTGTCCAAATGAGAATGAAGTTGGACGCAACTATTAGGTTAAGACTATAAATGTTTGAGCATGTATCTAAAAACTGCAGCAATGACAGCGGTAATTCTTGAATATTGAGGAAATTGATTATAAAGATACAGCCAGTATCATCTTACTGATAAAATTCACAAAATCTAATTTCCTCTGAATGCTAATTCAAGATTTTTCCTGGTCATTTTAGTCTGAACTCTCTGCTTCCTTTTTTTTCTTTGTTCGTTTGGTTCTCTTTGTGTCTGAAGTGGGTGGGGGGAGGATCCTCAAAAGTTTTATCCTAAATGTCTTTTTATTATGATAGTTTTCGTTTTAAGAGAAAAGTTGATCAAGACCAACATATTCGGAAATGTTTAATTAGACCTAAGTGTAGCTTGCAGTAATAAATGTATTTTCGATATTAATAATGACCTTCGATGAGCTTAAAAGGTGTTCATGGATAAAAACATATCTTGTGAACTTAGCTGAAGAGTCAGGTAAAGTTTTCAAGAACTTAAATATTTGCAGCATTCACGAGGACATACTTATGTGAGACTGGATTGACATTGATTTCTTTTGTAGACATAAGAGTTTAGTTAAATATGAGTACTGTCTTGCATTCTCTTGGTTGTGTTTAGTTTAAAAAATTAAAAAATAATAATTTCATAGAACTTGTTTTTTAAAGTAAAACTTGGCTGCACGTCTTTTCGTAACTGATTACTACTTTTTTTAAAAATATTCTCGTTCCTTTTTTCTTTTGTCTTTCACGTCACTCTAGTTAATAATTACTCATGGCAGTACCAATATAGAATAGACTATAGAAGCATGCTTTTTGCTGTTGGAACCAATCTGTCTACCCTCCCTGGTGGTCGTTTGCTTATTTTTTTATTTTTGTCAAAGTAAGATGTCAATCAATTTGTTTATGATTGGTTAATTGTTTGTCTGGATCATTTGCAACTTGATGAATGCATGATAGATTGAAGCTATTGTTTCAACGTGAAGATGAGGTTTATTGTTATTGAATTGCATTAAGAAGCAAAGCCTCAGTTTTCCTTTGTAAACCTGTCTTGATATTTCTCGTAGAAACATGTTTACTATATTTGTTTAATGTGGGAATAAATGCTGTTATGTCTAATCAAATTGACTGCACTTCCTAAATTATCCTCTGTAAAGGGATGTTCTTACCATTATGTTACATATCTTTCCTTTTTTCCCTGGAAAAGCACGGTCTTGTCATTATTCTCTCATTTTTTACATACACGAGCTGTGTGCATAATGTAAATTCCATAGTTGGAAATTAGAATGCATGGATTACTTGACTTCCAATCTTGTGAGAGTACTTCCAGATTGGAGTAAGTTTGCGGGTGCTAATATCTAACTTTTATACTCTAAATGAGATTATTTTACAGTTTACGTTTTTGCCATTATGCAGTTAAAATTGTCTCTACAACAGGATTGCCCTTCAGAAGTTGGTCGTAAGTCGACATCTTGCCCAAATGTTATGGACTCATTGAACCATCTCGTGTGGTCCCATGCCTTTAATGTGAAGCCATCGGAAGACAAGCTCCATGCATCCTTCAGATTAAAATGGAAATGCCCTCTCAAAGTCGGCTATTTTAAATGGAGTCTAGATTGTGGTTTTCGTGCCAATACATGAACGATATGCCTAGTTGTGTTAGGCTAGCCCATGTGGACCAATTTTTGTAGGAATGCATTGCCTAGCATGTTGAGGATTTTCCATGGCTGACAGGCCTGCCAATGAGGAAGATAGGCCCTACCTACTTTATAACTCTCATGCCACATTATGCCCCTTTTTGTCTCAGCATATGCCTCAAAGACAGAAAAGTAGCAAACCTGTGAGACATGATATTCTTGGCCATTACTCAATGAAAAAAGGACGAATCCATTGGATTGCTTCCTTTCTGCAAAAGAAACACAAACAATGAAGCAACAGCTGCATAGCATGCTGGAATATCACGTCTCAATAGTATGAAAACTCACCTTGGGCTTATAGGGAAGCAATCCATTGGATACGTCTTTTTTCATTGAGTAATGGCCGGCATAACATGCCTCACAGGTATGCTACATTTCCTTCATTTTCTTTGAGGTATATGCTAAGAGAAAAAGGGATATTTATGTGGTACGAGAGGTATAAAGTGGATTGTGCCCACTGTCCTTACTGGCCGACATATCAGCTGTGGAAAATCCCCGACCTGCTCGACAATGCTTCCCTAGAAATATTTGTCCACATGGGCCTTCCTAGCATAGCTAGGCATATGTTGTCAGTCAAAAACTATGCTTGTAGGTTCCAGATTAAATGGATATACTCTCTCAATAGCCTTGCATGTACTTCACCGACTTACCTGCAAAAATACGTCTCAGTTGTGGAGCAGGCTGGGGCTTTGGGTGGGGTGGTGGAGACTCCTGTTGCATAGCGGATGAAACTCGAATAAGTTAGGAGGAAGGACTTCGCAATGTTTCTAGGGAAGGTAAACAGGAGCAGGATGTTTCAGCTTATATTTTCCTTACTTTTTCTTAGCTTTGGAGTTGTACAAAACTTGTAATCTTGGATTATGTTTTGTAGGAATTTTTTGGGTTATAAATTATATTTGTGTTATGATACTTCACAACTTGTTTTTCATTTTTCGCACAATTAATGTTATGGATCTAGGGGGAAAATATTTGTTAAGACTGCTAAATAATTATTATAAAACTTTATCACTACTATATATATTAAAGGACAGAGGAGGGCAAAATCACTGTTCATTTGTGCACCCTTCATTTCACACTAAAATTGGTTCGTCACTATTCATGATCTTGTTTTGCTACAGTGATTCCCTCAATATGCAGTCATCTTTGTTGACTAATTGGTATATATTTTCTTCATCTTCATCCGTCCAATTGCAATTGATATTTTATAAATATCTTCTTCATGTACGTATTGGAGAAGCAAACCAACTAGAGAGGAACCAAAATCTTTATTTCACGTCGAGACCATGGTGCAGTAAAACTGTAAAAGTAATGGTGATATCATTTCTTGTGTTTGATATTTGTCATTTTTTTAGTTCGAATTATCTGAAACTGTTTGGTATTGTTAATAATAATTCAAGGTGGATTTTTTATTTGTGATGTGTTTCTGAGTAGAAGAAGGGTAGAAAGAAAGAAAAAAAAAGGAAGAAAAAAA